AATTTGCATTCTTTGGTTCAGAATACGAGAAAAAAAAAACAAAACAGAATGAAACAGGTAACTTTACGAAAGAGAAAAATAATTTAAAAGTTGTAAGTAATAAAAAAAAGCACAACCAACACTTTAGAGGTATGATTTAATATAGTTGCAAAGATTTCTTGAGCCTCATTAACCACATAGTACATAATTTTAACTAATTTAATTATAAATATCAACAACAAATGCCATCAATCATAAACGCCAACAAATAGAAGATATTCCATATAGAAAATAATGCTTTTTAAGGAAACGAATTTTAGAAGTATGACGTATATGTTACACAAAAGGCATTTTTCAGTTTTAGGCTAAGGACTGTGAGGAGCCGTTGCCATTAAGGGTCACGAAGTGGCCACACAGACCCCTGGGAGCGGCAAGGGACTTGACTATTGATTATTAACTTGTCCTACTTTCAGGATGTCGGCTATGAGTAAAATGTATTTGCCCAATTAGTAAACTCTCCAAAGAGAACCTAAACTCATATACATTTTAGGATATTAAAAAGATAAAATATAACGATGAAATTGAGACCTTCGGTGTCTGCTGCTTCCAACACTGGAAAAACTTTTCCATTCCCTTGGTCGCAAGGCTGTCAAAGCCTGCGTCTGGCTTGGTTCAGAGCGTAGCGCGCTGAGCACACGGAACCCGCTCCCTTCCCTGCCCCCGTTCCACCCCACACACTCCGGGACGTCCATGTGGAAAGATCTGGCCCTGGGTGGGAGGCTGCAGATCGTCCCAGGGCCAGGGCTTGCGCTGGCCGGCCGCGGCGCGCTGGGTGCCAAGCCCTCCCCGACGAAGTCTGTTTTGTCTCAGGCTGGGCTGAGTCACATAGAATAGATAGTCGGTTAGCACATGTCCTCCAGATCATATTATCCACCTACAAATATAGCCTGTTAGCGCACAGGCACGGGAGGCTTCTTCCGGCTCGGCTGTGCTGCTCAGCGGGTGTAAACAGCCTCTGTGGTGTAAACAGCTGCGGCGGGCAGGCCGGGACTGTCAGCGCCCGCCCCTCGGGGCAGGTAAGCGCGGGGTGTCCGAGGTGGCCCGTGGGGCAGGAGCGGGGGCGTGCGCTCCTCGTGGGAGGACGCGGGCGGCCGGTGCCCCGGGCGCGCAGTTGTTTACGCCTTCCTCCGTGCCTTGGTGACCGAGCACCCGCCGCTGGGGCTTAGGCATCATGCGGCCGGTATCTGAGGTCCAGGACTATGGTGGGCTGGCGAGAAAGGAGAGAGCGTGGGGCGGGCGGGGGTCCCTGCGAGTGAATCCTGCACCGGGTTAGCGGGTCCCCTGCGCATACCACCCAGGCTCCCGAGGCTGAGCCCAAAGTTTTCTGGTCCAAAGCGCTGTCCAGGGGAGATAAATCAGCTTTGTTTGTGCCCTGAAAGGGATGATTGACACGTGGCCCTGTAGGGAAGTCTTTTCTCCCAGCGTCTCACGCCCCCCTGGCTTGGGGTGGGGACAGGCATGAGGCAAGGGCGGAAAGTGACTGGAGACCCAAAGGAGGAGGACTTGTTTGGCTTGTTAGCGGCTCCGTCCTGTCGCTAGCTCTTCTGTGAAGAGGTTCTTCTTCACCCAAAGAACCTCTGCTAATCACGCCAGGTGGAGAAAAACCCTCCGATGCCCACATACCTCTTGTTTTTGTCTTACCTTTCACTGGTGACAGTGATTCTTAGTTTCCTTTCTTTTTTCTTTAAATAATTGAACTTTTTTTTTTTTTTTTTTGAGACAGAGTCTCACTCTGGCCCGGGCTGGGGTGCAGTGGCATTGCTCACTGCAACCTCCACCTCCCGGGTTCAAGTGATTCTCCTGCCTCAGCCTCCCGAATAGCTGGGATTACAGGTGCCCGCCACTACACCCATCTAATTTTTTTGTATTTTTAGTAGAGACAGGGTTTCACCATGTTGGCCAGGCTGGTCTCGAACTCCTGACCTCGTGATTTGCCTGCCTTGGCCTCCCAAAGTGCTGGGATTACAGGCGGGAACCACTGAGCCCTGCCCGATTGAACTTTTTTTTGACCTTACTAGGTGCCGGGTACTGTCTTAAGCACTTGACACACCGATCCTACCTAATGTTCTCGCCAGCCTGTAAGCTCAGTGCTGTTTGTTCCATCACGTCCACATGAGAACGCCAGGCTCAGAGAGGCTAGGCCGTGTTCTCAGGGACACGCGCCCAGAGAGTGGGTAGGCAGGGCTCCAGCCTTGGCAGCTCGGCCCAGGAACTGCCCTCTTAATCCCGTCTGGACCCTCTGCCACCCCTGACTGGATTTTCTAGCTTAACAAATAACAATAAAATTAGTCAGGTATCCCCAGGGAAACTCTGATCATGTGGCATAAATGTCATTTAATTCAGGATTTGGCTGACTATACTGACCTTACTTGACTATTTAGCTCCTATTTACCCCCATTTCTATCAGAAAACTCACTGTATCATTCCAACCCTGGTGTCCGGGTAGTGGCCTTATGTGAGGACAGAATGGAATTTGTGAGTCACCAAAGCTCCTTGGTTGTCATATTGTTGCCTATTGTATCTTGGTGTTCCCAGAAATTCCCATGGGTTACAGTTGTTCTCTTGGATCTAGCAAGGCTGATGATAGAGGTTTTCCTCGAATCTATGACACTCTGGAAGGCTGCTGTAGAGTGCTTGGAGCTAGGCAGCCTGGGGCGGAGGGGTCCCTGGGTTCTGAGGGGCAGGTGGGGAGGAGAGAGCCTCTCTCTGCACAGTTGGTTCAGGTGACCTCTGGCATCAGCTCCGTCCTCCTCTCCTGCCCCATCCCTTGTTCCTGTCCCCCTCCCAGCCTCACAGGAGTGCCAAGAATGGCTTGGCACCTGCGTGATGAGGCGAGTCTCCTCTCAGACTCCCCCAGGTCCTTCTTAGGATGCTCTGAGGGGTTAACCCTGCACCTACTCCGCACCTCCTACCCAGCAGCCCAGTGTCACCTGACAAGAAGGGAGAGGACTAGGTGACCAGAAACCCCCCTGCCCCTGGCATATGACTTCTGAGTGGAGACTAGTGCCCTGGTGCCAGGGGACATGTTTTTCCAGTCATGCCCTCTGGCTCTGTAAAGCGGATGGCTCTGTAAAGTGGTTCTGATATAACTGGGCTGGGGGGGAGGGGTGTGGAAAGTTATTCAGCCAAACCTCCACTGTGAACCCTTCCCCTTCTTCAAGGTCCCCTCGGGACTCGCCCAACCCCTCCCCTCTACCCTTTCTCTTTTGCCTCCCACAGGGGTTGGTTCAGCTCCTGTTGTCTAAGGAACACGCTGCACTGAAATATATCCTTTGATGCCCTCCCTCTAGATTGGGAACTTGGAGGCATGGACAAGGCTTCTGTCTTTCTGCATTTAATGAGTGCCCATAAATGTTAGTTACTTAGGGTTCCTAGGCATTGAAAAACAGAAGTACACACCAGGTACACTGGCTCAGTTCCCGTGGTTTCTGTGTTGAGGTTCAGAAGCAGGGGACTGGCACCTGTAGCCCTTGGACTACTCAAAGCCTCCTCATTTGATGGCCATGGCACACCTCTCTCTGCAGGGGCTTGGACAAGGTGATGGAGAGGCCCTTCTACTTCCCATTGTATGCTACGGTATGAGCAGCTCAGCTGAACTCATGGGGCCAGGCCGTGAACCCAAGGATGGGGACTCTCAGGTGCTGCTCTTGGCAGTGAACTATGGCTCCTCTATGGCTTGGTCCATGGACAGATAAAATATGGTTAATCAAATACTTTAACTTGCATTAAGTGTTGTGATGTCAATAAACAGTAGACTGAGAACTAAAATAACAGGAGGGTTTACTTTAGATGAGGAGGCAGGGGAGGCCAGACAGGAGAAAACATTTAAGGTGGGCTCCAGGGGTGTGGGGAGGAAGCCACGTGAATGAGGGAGGAAGGTTTTGGCGGAAGGAGCAGTGTGTGCTGAGCCCTGAGAGGGAAGAGGAGGGGGTGGACAAGCATTGAGGAGGCGAGAGGAGGGGTGAGGCGGGATGGGCTGGCCAAGGGCAGACTGTGCCAGGGGCTCACTGACTCTGTGGAAAGCTGGGATCCCATTCTCATTTCAAAGGCAGGTCTCAGGGGGATTTGTGCCAGGTGGTGGCATGATCTAGTTCTCATTGGAAAGTGACTCTCACTATTGAGTAGAAGGTGGATTGGGTGGGGGTGAGTGGGAAGCCAGGAGACCAGCTAGGAGGCTTTTGCACAACTGAGGCAAGGTGTGACACCTGTGGGTGGTGAGAAATGCATGCCCTCTAAGACCTAGGCGATAACTGGATGTGTGGATGAATGTGTGTGTGTGTGCATGTGTGTGTGTACGTGTGTGTGTGTGTGTGTGTGTGTGTGTGTGTGCGCGTGCATTCCATCTGCATGATGGGTGGGCAGAATGAGGAAACAAAGCAAAAGAAGTGAATTCTGCCGGGCGCAGTGGCTCACGCCTGTAATCCCAGCACTTTGGGAGGCTGAGGCAGGCAGTTCACCTGAGGTCAGGAGTTCAAGACCAGCCTGGCCACCATAGTGAAACCCCATTTGTACTAAAAATACAAAAATTAGCTGGGTATGGTGGCTTGTGCCTGTAATCCCAGCTACTCAGGAGGCTCAGGAAGGAGAATTGCTTGAACCCAGGAGGCAAAGTTTGTAGTGAGCCAAGATTGTGCCACTGCACTCCAGCATGGGCGACAGAGCAAGACTTCGTCTCAAAGAAGAAAAATGACTTTTAGATCTTCTAGCTTATGATGGAGTCATTCCTGAGGTGTAGAATTAAGGGAGGCCCACGATGGACAGACTCTAAAGGAGCAAGTTTGGAGGGCATCATACTGCTTTGATATGTGTGTGAGACATCCAAGAGCATATTCAAGGAGGCAGCTGGACATGGACACCAGATGGCACCATAAGTTAAGACTGGTTTTTATAAGTATCTTTTGTAAAAATCCACTGTCTTATTTATTGCTGCATAACAAGTTACCCCCAGGCATAACAGTTTAGAATAACAAACATTTATTATCTCACAGTTTCTGAGAGTCAGAGGTCTGGGGAAGTTTAGATGAGTGTTTCTGGCTTAGGGTCTCATGAAGTTGTGGTCAAGATGTCCACAGGAGCTGCTGTCATCTGAAGGCTTGACTGGGGCTAGAGGATCTGCTTTTACGACAGCTCCTCTCATGGCTGTTGGCAGGAGGTCTCAGTTCCTCTCCTCGTGAAGCTTTTACGCAAGGCTGCTTGAGCATCATCATGACATGATAGGTGACTCCCAGAGTGAGCGATCTGAGAGAAAGTGAAGACCTAATCTCAGGAGCCACACACCATTACTTTCACCACATTCTAGTCACTAGAAGTGAGTCACTAAGTCTACCTCATGCTCAAGGGGAGAGGAATTAAGTTCCCTTCCTTTTTAAAGGGAGGAATGTGAAAGAATTTATGGGTATAGTTTAGAACCATCACATCCAAAGCAAATTATTTTACCTTTTATTGTCCACTAAAGCTAGGATTAGTAAACTATAACCTGCAGGCCTGGACCTATTTGTGTATGGAATATGGGCACTGCTGGAGCATCTGGGGACCAAGCTGGAGGATTTTCTCTATTCCCCTGCTGCTCTCTGTGCCTCCACCTGGCCAGCTGCACCTTGCTGCAGCCCAGGGCCCACCCTCATTGCCGTCTACACACGGGAGACTGTTGTTAGCAACTGCCAGGCACCAAGCAATGCAATCTCAGTTCAGGAGCTGGCGACTTAGTAGGTCACCTTGCCTCCAACCAGCTGTCCCATTTGTGATGACTGGGGAAGAGAAGGACACACAGGCATCTGTCTGGGTGATAATGGGGCAGAGAGAGAAACTGGCTTCGGCAGGCCTGCTCCCCAGCCCCTTCCCTGCCAACTTCTCCCCTCTCTTTTTGTTTGAGACCCAGGCTGGAGTGTATTGGTGCAATCTCAGCACACTGCAACCTCTGTCTCCCAGGTTCAAGGGATCTCTCACGTCAGCCTCCTGGGTAGTGAATATCTGGGACCACAGATGTGCGCCACTGCCTAGCTAATATATATATATATATATTTGTATTTTTGGTAGAGACAGGGTTTTGCCATGCTGCCCAGGTTGATCTCAAACTCCTGAGCTCAAGCAATCCACCTGCCTCAGCCTCCCAAAGTGCTGTGATGACAGGTGTGAGCTACTGTGCCCAGTGCCGCCCCCCCCACCTCTTTCACCATACCTGCAGGGCTTTCCCTCTTGGGCTAGTCCCTCTTGTTCTGAGAATGTTTTCAGCAAGCAGCATCTGGACATGAAGCATGCTCACTACTCCGGATGGTTCTCTGGAGGCAAGCAGGGAGAGGCTCGCCGGAGGGTTCTCTTTTGTTACGTAAACACCTACATCATCTTCGATGTTGCTTATTGACCTGCGAAACCTCAGTTATTTACCGTCAAGTTTTCTGGGCCCTGCACTAAGCAAAAGATTTTCCAGGCATTATTTTCATCAATCCAACCGTTGAGAGCTGCTGATGTTTAACATCTTCACTCAGCCACTGGAACCTGTTTGTACCTGGGAGTCCTTGGCCTGGAGAGAAGGTGCCTGATGACATTCTGTGGCCTCACTGTTCTTTCCTTTGCCGTGAGAGATGCCACCGTTCTCCTTCCGTCTCATCACTGCAGGTGTTTTCTCTGGAAGATGCTCTGCGACTGTGGACAGTGTTAGCCCAAATCGAGGGAGGCTTGTTCTCATAATTCTGCTCTAACCACGCAAAACCAGACCCACAGCAGGGAACTGGAATCAGATGCTGTTTTGGAACCATGACGCTCTGCTGTCAAATTCAGTGACGGTCCAGGCTGAAGCTTTGCACTTAGGATGCTTTGTAGAATCTGCTTGGTTGTAGTTTCCTATAAGAGGATATTGCTTTGTTTGTATTGAGGGTCTGGATCCTGTAGAGGTTAATTTTTCCTTTTCTGTGTTGGTGTAATATATTATGATGACACTTCTTTTATTTTTTTTTTTGAGACAGAGTTTTGCTCTTGTTGCCCAGGCTGGAGTGTAATGGTACACTCTTGGCTCACCGCAGCCTCTGTCTCCCGAGTTCAAGCGAGTCTCCTGACTCAGCCTCCTGAGTAGCTGGGATTACAGGCATGTGCCACCATGTCCAGCTAATTTTTTGTAGAGATGGGGTTTCTCCATGTTGGTCAGGATGGTCTTGAACTCCTGACCTCAGGTGATTCGCCTACCTCAGCCTCCCAAAGTGTTGGGATTACAGGCGTGAGCCACCGCGCCCGGCTATGATGACATTTCTATAGTCCTAGAGAAAGTTAATGCTTAGGACATTACATTCTACATCTTTGCCTGAAAGATTGTGTTGACTAGAATTTATTCTTCAAAGTAGAGATTAGCTTTGTAACTTTACTAGGAGATCTAGTAAAGATCTGCTGAGGGACTGGCACCTGTGTCTGTCTCTGACAACTGCGTCCTGTGGGCTCCCCAATGTGGCTTCTCCCCTGGATGGGGAGTCTCCTACTTTCCCTGGACTGACACATGGACTCTCATTTGAAACTACCTTCCCAGTCGCAGCACCCACCCGTGAGCTACTACCTTCTAGATTAAGGTCAGCTTTGTCCAGTTGTCTAGAGAGGCCTGAACTCAGCCCTGTCCTATGTGCGATGCCAGGGGCTGGGCTTGACCTGACACTTAGGGCCTTGTATTTCATAGCTTCCCAGCACCTTTGGACATCACATGTAAATCTCCAGCAAACGTGGTCATCACTTACTGTTCTGAGTCTCCAGTTTTCATTATACATGTTTGCGATCAAAACTTCAACTTATGGGCAAGATGCTGATTTAAATCTTGGCACATTCAAAGCCCTCTTAATTGTATAAGAGAAACTTTTTTTTTTTTTTTTTTTTGAGATGGAGTCTCGCACTGTTGCCGGGCTGGACTGCAGTGGTGTGATCTCAGCTCACTGCAATGTCTGCCTCCTGGGTTCAAGTGATTCTTTTACCGCAGCTACCGAGGTAGCTGGGATTACAGGCACCTGCCGCCATGCCTGGCTAATTTTTTATATTTTTAGTAGAGGTGGGGTTTCACTATGTTGGCCAGGCTGGTCTCGAACTCCTGACCTTGTGATCCACCCACCTTGGCCTCCCAAAGTGCGGGATTATAGGCATGAGACACTGCGCTCAGCCTCTTTTTCTGCTTGTTAAAACACAGGGAAAATGGTGAACATGGTTAGATCACACATAGGATATACTCTTTCCCACCAAAATACTGAGAGTAGTAATGACTTAAACTACTTAAAAATGCATCAGAGCCTTTGGTAATTAAATTTCATAATTCCAGGAATTTATCAAAGTTGATGAAGCTATTTTTTGTTGACACGATCAAATATTTAGAACACAAAGGCATCAAGAAGAAACCATTCCTCTAAGATGGGAACTAGAATTGCCTTTCTCTATGTTAATGCATAAAAATTAATAAGCAATTATTTTTAAAATGTAAGGGCAGTTAATGTACAGCTCTGGCTACTTCCTAAGGGCCAACTGACCTAAGGAAATGAAAGAACCTCAACGACAGCATCGGTGGTGCATCTGGTTGATCTAGGGAACAGGAGCCCTGTGGGTAGAAGTAATTCTTCCAGCTTCAGTTACTCTGGCTGGCTGGGCTGCCCACACTGCTCACATGCAGGTAACTTTACTTCAGCTTTCTGATTTATGTGTAGACTTGGGTTCTGTGTAGAAATTTCCTCCAGAAAACTAGGCTGATGGATTCTCTTTTTAATGTTTCTTCATTATTGCCTGTGGACTTTGATCTTTTGTTTTCAGGCTGATGCGTAGCATTCCTTTATGGAGACTTTTATGTTGAAAGCCAAAGCCTTGGCCGGGTGCCATGGTGGCTCACGCCAGTAAAATCAGCACTTTGGGAGGCTGAGGCGGGTGGATCACCTGATGTCAGGAGTTTGAGACCAGCCTGACCAACATGGTGAAACCCTGTCTCTACTAAAAATACAAAAATTAGTTGGGCATAGCGGCAGGCGTCTGTAATCCCAGCTACTCGGGAGGCTGAGGCAGGAGAATCCCTTGATCCTGGGAGGCCGAGGTTGCAGTGAGCCGAGATTGCACCATTGCACTCTAGCCTGGGTGATAGAGTAAAACTCCGTCTCCAAAAGAAAAACAAAAAAGCCAAAACCTTAATTAAAATCTTTGCCAGTTAGATACTCCTTAGCTGAAGATAAAAGACTAGGAAAACTGGAAAAAGAGAAATTAAATGCGCTTCTTTTACCTATCATTTTTATAAAATTTACCCTTTTAGTGATTTTGAAATATGCAATACATTATTATTGATTATAGTCACCCTGCTATGCAATAGATTTCAAAACATTCCTCTTACCTATCTGAAACTTTGTACCCTTTGACCAATAAATAACTCCCCATTCCCTTCTTCCCCGGCCCCAACCTCTTTCTGCACTCTACTTCTATGAGTTCAACTTTTTACGATTTCACGTAAAGTGAGATCATGCAGGGAACCTTCCTCTTCTGATTAGAGGAGCTGTAGACCAAAAGAGAGGAGCAAACCGTCAAAACCGTCATGCTTTTTTTTTTTTTTTTTTGAGACGCAATATTGCTCTGTCGCCCAGGTTGGAGTGCAGTGGCGTGATCTCGGCTCACTGCAATCTCCACCTCCCAGGTTCAAGTGATTCCCCTGCCTCAGCCTCCTGCGTAGCTGGGACTACAGGCATGCACCACCACACCCGGATAATTTTTTGTATTTGGTAAAGACGGGGTTTCACCACATTGGCCAGGATAGTCTCGATCTCCTGACCTCGTGATCCACTCGCCTCGGCCTCCCAAAGTGCTGGACCGTCACGCTTTTTTATCCTCTTAAATCTTTACTGCTTGGTCGCGACGGTGGGTGCACTTGTGGGAAGTACATGGCAGAGCGGGCTAACTACAACATCAGGTTTTTGGTCAGAGGACCGAAAAAGGGAGCCCAGCGATCTGGAAAGGACCAGGGAGGTCACAGAGAGAGAGAGGAATTTGGGGAAAACAGCTTCCTAAGTTTGTTCCTGGGCTCATCCCCGAACTGCGCATGCGTGGACCTGACCTTAAACCAGCACGCCAAGGATGTTTAGACTAGAACACCTGGATAGACCTTCAGCCACACCCTAGACTGGCCACTGGGTGGCGCACACGGAACATAGCTGAATAGCACCACGAAGACAAAACTGAACAGACATGGGAATTACAACCCACAGAAGGCAGGTTGGAATTTAAGGTCTAAATTCAACCAGATAGATTACCTACGGCGTCAGTCAACTCACTGCCTCTCAGCTTTGAATGCGCCGTTTAGTAAATATACTCTGTTATACAATGGCATTCCTTTGAATACTGGTCCTTTAAAGCGAGCACAATGTTAAGCTTTCTCGATGGAAGGCACTGGAGGGACAAGGTAGTAAGAAGAGGCTTCCTGCCTTTTTTTTTGGCGTGGGCCGGGGATCAACAGTGGGCATGTGAGACTATCCATCAGAACCTGCCCCATGCCTGGGCTCAGAACAGTCCCTTTGCAACTTTGCATCCCTGGCCTTGCAGTTACCTTTCCACAGCTCTCTTGAGCCAGAAAACGGAGCCTCTGTGTAGCCCATGTGCTCTGAAGGCCTCCTGCCTGTGCTTGTATTTCGACTTTCTTCACAAGCCTCAAAATTACCTGCACACGGTTGCCTGTGGCCCTGAGGGTCACATGCCAAACCTGCCACACCTTCTGCAAGTGCCTGTGTGGTCCACACACTCTGAAGACCATCTATCCCTTCTAACACCTGGACTTCCATTACATGACCATGCCACCAGTTGCTGATTAGCGCTCCCTACCTGAACTTGAAGGTGTTGTCTATTAGTTGCCCAGCAACTCCAGACTAGCCTGCCCAAACTGGAGGACTTACCTGCTATCTGAGGGGCTGAACTCCTTCTAAGTTTGTTTTGCATATGCTCCCTCAGCCCTGGGGTATGAATGGAAAGATAGAAAAATATCAACAAAGAAACAGAAGATATGAAGAACTAATTGGAAATTTTTTTTTTTTTTTTTGAGACGGAGTTTCGCTCTTGTTACCCAGGCTGGAGTGCAATGGCGCGATCTCGGCTCACCGCAACCTCTGTCTCCTGGGTTCAGGCAATTCTCCTGCCTCAGCCTCCTGAGTAGCTGGGATTACAGGCACGCGCCACCATGCCCAGCTAATTTTTTGTATTTTTAGTAGAGACGGGGTTTCACCATGTTGACCAGGATGGTCTCGATCTCTTGACCTCATGATCCACCCGCCTCGGCCTCCCAAAGTGCTGGGATTACAGGCTTGAGCCACCGCGCCCGGCCCTGGAAATTTTAGAAATAAAATAGACAAAATAAAATACTCACTGGATTGCCTCACAAACATAATGGAGATGGCATAGGGAAGAGCAAGGAAACTTGAAGGTAGATTACTGGGTATTACCAGTCTGAAAAAAAAGAGAAGAAGAAAAGATTTATCTAAAATTAACAAGACCTTAAGAATCTATGGAACAAAAAAAAAAAAAAGAATCTATGGAACAATACTGAAAAGTCTAATATTTGTGTTATCAGAATCCCAAAAGGAGAGGAGAAAGAGTGTAGTGCAGAAACAAAATTTCAAGAAATAATGGCTGAAAAATCCCCAAATTTGTCAAAAGATATAAATCAACTGATTAAAGAAGCTAAACAAATCCAAATCAGAATAACTCCCCCCTCCCAAATCCATGCCCAGATATAATAATTAACCTGAAGAAATCCAAAGATGGAAACATTTTGCCAGGCGCAGTGGCTCATGCCTGTAATCCCAGTACTTTGAGAGGTTGAGGTGGGAGAATCACTTGTGTCCAGGAATTTGAGACCAGCCTGGGCAACACAGTGAGAGCTCATCATTGTAATTTTTTTTTTTTAAATTAGCCTGGCATGGTGGGGCATGTCTGTGGTTCCAGCTACCTGAGAGGCTGAGATGGGAGGATTGCTTGAGCCTAGGAGATTGAAGCTGCAGTGAGCTGTGATGGCACCACTGCACTCCAGCCTGGGTGACAGAGTGAGATCTTGTCTCTGGCTGGGGAAACAAAATGGAAATAGCAAGAGAAAAAAATGATGTATCCCCTATAGGAGATTATGATTCAAATTATTGCAGATTTCTAATCAGAAACTATGGATACCAGAATAAAGTGGCACAACATTTAAAAAATGCTGATAGAAAACAAACAGGTTGCTTTCAAATTCTATATCAAGCAAAAATAATATTTATGAATGGAGGTAAGAGAAAGACATCTTCAGTTGAAGGAAACGAGATATGTCAGCATATTTACTCTAAAATAATTGTTAAGGCAAGTTTTTAGATAGAAGGGAAATGATAACAGGTAAAATTGAACAGCAGGAAGAAAGGAACAGAAACATATAAATATCAAGATAAATATAATGGACTAGTTTTCTCCTCATGAGTTCTTTAAATTTGATGATTGGAAGCCAAAAATATAACATCGATTGACATAATACATAAGACAACTGCAACATAAAGGTGGGAACGTAGCAGGACCTATGTGGTGGTAAGATTTTTACATCTCACTTGAAGTGGTAAAATATTGTTTCTAAGTGGACTGTGAAAAAGTAAGTATGCATAATAATTCTTAGGGCAACCATAAAACAAGAGAAAAAACTACCCAAAGAGACATAGTAAAACATATAATAAAGAAAATAAAATGAAATACTAAAAAGTGTTCAGAGAAAAGGAGGCAGGAAAGTATAAAAGAGGGGAAAAAAAAGAGGGATCAAGTAGAGAAAAAGTAATAAAATGACAGACTTAAACCAAACATACAAGTATTAAATATAAATGGCTTACATCAGTCAATTAAAAGACAGAGATAGTCAGAATTGGTTAAATAAACAATCCAGCAATAGTCTGTCTACAAAATCTCACATCGACCATAAGTATATAGTTAGGTTAATATAAAATGATGGAATCAAGAAAGTGAAAAGCAACTTACAAAACGGAAGAATTTTTTTGCAAATTATATACCTGGTAAGGGACCTGTATCTAGAATATATAAAGTACTATTGGAAGTTAGCAATAAATAAAATTACCAATTAACCCAATTAAAAAAGGGAAAAGGATCTGAATAGACATTTATCCAAAGAAGATATAAAAATGCCCAATAAGCATAAGAAAATATGCTCAACATCATTAGCCATTGGGAAAATGCAAATTAAAACAGCAAGATACCTCTTCACACCTATTAGGATGGCTATAATAAAAAAGACAGATAATAACAAGTGTTGGTGAGGATGTGGAGAGACAGGAATCTTCACATACTGCTAGTGGGGATGCAAAATGATGTAGCAGCTTTGGAAAACAGTCTGGCAGTTCACAAAAGGTTAAATATAGAGTTATGTAACCTAACAATTCTCTTTTATATTTACTCAAGATAAGATAACAAATATACACACAAAAACTTGTGCATCATTTGAACTTTCGTCAAAAATCTCCTTTAGGTAAAAAATTTTAAAGAAGACAAAGGCAGTCTCAGGCTGGGCAGAGCATCTCATGCCTGTAATCCCAGCCCTATGGGAGGCCTGGTGGGTGGTTTGCTTGAACCCAGGAGTTTGAGACCAGTCTGGGCAACATAGTGGGGCCCTTCTCTACAAAAAATACAAAAATTGTCTGGGCATAGAGGTGCATACCTGTAATCCCCAGCTACTTGGGAGGTGGAGGTAAGAGGAATGCTTGAGCCTGGGAGGTTGAGCTGCAGTGAACTGTCGTGGTGTCACGACATTCTAGCCTGGGCAACAGAGTGAGACCCTGTCTCAGGAAAAATAAAACCACAAACAAACAAACAAAAAACAAAGGCAGTCTCAGACATCAGAAATCAAAGGAAAGAAGGAAATAAACTAGGTCAGCATTGTCAGCTCTTTAGAGTAAAATTATATACTTTCACATGTTCAGCTGTGCAAACATAAGCCAGTTCTCTCACTCCTTTTGACAAGCCATTTATAGAGAGCACACTCTTGATTCAGAAGATTAAAATTTGGCTGGGCACGGTGGCTCATGCCTGTGATCCCAGCACTTTGGAAGGCCAAAGCAGGAGGATCACCTGAGCCCAGAAGTTCAAAATGAGCCTGGGTAATATAGTGAGGCCCCCACTTCCAGAAAAAATAAAAAAATTAGCCAAGTGTGGTGGTGATGCACGACTGTGATCCCAGCTACTTGGGAGGCTAAGATGGGTGGATCGCCTGAGCCCAGGAGGCTGAGGCTGCAATGAGCAGTGAATGTACCTGTATCACTGCCCTCCAGCCTGAGCAAAAGGTAATACCCTGTCTAAAAAAACAAAGAAAAGGAAAAAGAAGACTAAATATTTGGCTTCATATCCCTGACGGCTACTTAGAAGTGTCTGAAATTGGAGGAGAAAAGTATTCACCAGCCCTACTATTTAGCAACTGACAATCTGTGTTTGTGTAAATCAGGAAATGGATTTAGCAAGATTTTGCTGCTGCAGTTAGGGAAGTCGAAAACAGTATCTAGGAAGTTACTTTACTTAGATAAGGGACGTAAGTATGACTTAGTGGAATGGACACTGAAAGGTACTTTCCTGTCCTGAAAATTATTTTTTGTAATGATCAAATAATCACTTACAACAAACAGTAAGTATAAAGTAGGAAAATAAAAAAGAAGCGAGCTCATTTAATGTCCTGAGACTTAAGCAATCTGGATGCATATCTGCTATTTACTAATTCATTCATTCACTCACTCATTCATTCAACAAATATTTATGAAGGACCTACCGTGTGCAAGGCACTATACTAGGTGCCAGGGATATAGACATAAAATTTTGAGGGGCCTCTCATGTTTCATTTGGTGAAACTGAAAGTAGAGACTAAATCATCTCTAAATTCCCACTGAGATGTGATGGCCGAAATGTACCCAAGTCTGACTTTCCTTGCTCTTGGAAAACCAAATGAACAGAGATCAATAGTCTGTGAAGGTTCAATCTGCAGGGAAACCTCAAAGGACACGTCTCTAGGCTGTGTGGTCAGTCCTAGGTGGCAGAGTGCTCAGTGGGGCTCAGTGCCATTTTTTTCTTTTAACTTAATGGTGGCTGACCTGTAGCTTCAGATAATGAGGGCTGGGGATATTGGGGAGGAGAGGGAGAGACTGGTGGTCACAGAGACTACCCTGGAGAAGAGGAATGAGTTCAGTCAGCTGGACTGAGGAAAGGTGGGAGCCAGATGGAAAAGGCAGTCCCAGAGGGGAAGAATTCAGGTGATGGGTTACGGAAGGAAGTCCCTGTTACGTGCCTTATCTCCTATGCTTAAAGGAAGGAAAGAACACTCAAATATATTTAGAATAGATTTTTACCAGCAAAAGGGACTTTTAGAAATGCAATTATAACACTGCCTATATGAGCTTTTTTTTTTTTTTTTTAAGATTTAAATACAACTAAGAAGTTATATTCTATTCACTTGAGAGAGGAGAGAGAATGTGTGTGGGTGTGCACACACTGTGATTAATTCATCTAACTTATCCTTGATTATGTAACAACCTACGGGGAATATTAGGTACATATACTAGTGAATTCAATAGAATGTGGAACCACGAAGTTTGAGGAATACACAGTGGGCTTTGGGAACCCAGAGTCTATCTGAGGGTTAAGGAGACAAGCGTGATCATCTGGAGAAGGTGACCCTAGGGTGAGTGTTGAACTATGACTTACTTACACAAAGTACTATCAGACCTTAAGAACATTAGCAAACTGTCATCCTCCCAGCCTGGGCAATATAGCAAGACCCTGTCTCTACAAAAAATTAAAAAATTAGTTGGGTGTGGTGGTGTGTGCCTGTAGTGTCAGCTGCTTGGGAGACGGAGGCAGGAGGATTGCTTTAGCCCAAGAGGCTGCAGTGAGCTACGATTGTGCCACCGCATTCCAGCATCGGCAACAGAGTGAGCCTCTGTCTCAATAAAAACAAAACAAAACCCAACCAGCCAAACAAACCAAATAAAAAACAAAGCAAACTGTCATCCTTGAAGTAGTAAGGCGTATCATCGTTCCTTCAGCCAGGTGATTCATTCATGTTTCATCTTAAAGTTTATGTCAAAAGTGTTTTCTTTTATCAAGCTGACATATCTATATTTTTTTTTAACAGGTAATTTCACATTCCCAAAATGGGACATAAAGTGGTTGTCTTCGACATTTCTGTCATCAGAGCCTTGTGGGAAACTCGCGTCAAGAAGCACAAGGCTTGGCAGAAGAAGGAGACGGAAAGGCTTGAGAAGAGTGCCTTGGAGAAGTACGTGTTTC